ACTAAGGTTTAATGTAGTTATTAGAAAATAGAAAAATTACATACATAACTCTCCTTATATTTCAGCTGGCTACCTTGAATTAGAACATTCCTTCCAGTTTGCTACAGCAGAAGTCTGGTTACTCTTGTTAGAAGGTGGAGCAGCCCTTCCTCCACTTCTCCTCTTGTGACAAGCCAAGATCAACCCAGCTCCAAAACCTCAGATGGTTTAGATGATTCACCTTTTCATCCTCAGGAACAGAACTAAAGGTGGTTAATGGATTAGCAATGTTTAGGCAATAACATATTACAGGGAATGCAATGACACGCCAAAGTATTGTGATTGGTCTCCTCTTTTATGTGATAAACTGTGTATCTCCAAATTTCATGCTTTGAAACCCTAATCCCAGCACTTCAGATAGTGACTGCATTTTGAGATAGGCCCTGTCAAGAGGTAATTAATTTAAAATGAGCCTTGTGGGTTGGGTCTGATTGGTGTTTTTATGTTCTTCTGCCTTCTGCCATGGGATGAAGCAGCATGCTAGCCTCATCAAGTGTCAACACCCTGTGAGACCTCAGCCTCCAGAACCAGATTAATGTCTATTGTTTACAAATTGCTCAGTATGTGGTATTCTGTTAAGTAGTGGAAAACAGGCTAAGATACTCATCAAATGTATTTCCTAACTAGCACCAAATTTATATTCCCAGTTGTGAAGTCTCCATAGAGTTCAGGCAACTTTATCTAACTGCTTACTCAGTATCTGTTCTTTAATGTTTAATAGGCACCTTCAAATATTGACACTTTCAAACCTGCACCACTGATTTTCCTCCACAACCAATCTCTCTCATAATCTTCTGTGACTCAATAAATAGCATCACTGTCCTTCCAATTGCCCAGGCTCTATGTCATGGTGTCTCCCTAGGTTTTGTACACCCACTCATAGCCAACGTCCATAACCGTGAGCAGATTCTCTCAGCTCTAACTTCAAAAAAATTTTTAATTTGATCACTTTTAATCACCTCTGCAGCTACCAGCTCAATCCAAGCAAGGACAGATATATGCATCCCCTAACTTAAATGTTGATGATGTAATTTCCAGAAAGTGTCCAAACTGAAATGCTCTTGAAAAGCAAAGGATGCCAGAGAGAGGATTACTAGCTTTTAACTGATCCATAATCGATGTCATGCAGTATTGTTTGAGGCAATTATGATGTATGGTGATCTCATCTAACTAGATTCCTACTTTTGCTCTTAACCCAAATCGTCTATTTGCACCAGAATAATTCTATGAAACACATTTGGTCATGTGACTTCTTGGCTTAATCCCTCCCACGGAATATTTTCTCACTCGGGTGAAAATGTCTTTACAATGGCCCGCCGTGATCTTGCCCCTGTTATCTCTCTGCCGTGGTACCTACTACTCCCTGACTTATTCATTCCACTCCATCCACACTGACTTCCTGTCTTTTCTCTGAACTTGTCAGACACATGTTGCTTGCAGAGCTGTGCACCTGGGTTTCCCTCTGCTTACAGAATTCCTCCCAGGCATCCCCTGGCTCACTCACCTGCTTCAGGCTTGAACTCCAACATCACCTATACAAAAATTTGCATTTTTGGGATCTTAGAAAAGTAATGAAAAGTGCATATTATGGAAAAAAAATCATGGATTAAACTTTTTCTGCAGGGGCCGGCACTGTGGCGCAGTAGGTTAATCCTCCGCCTAATTTTTAATTCCATTTTCTATGAACCTTTTGACTTACTCTTCTACATTTAGAATGGATATATATTTCTTCTTCCCTTTTCTCCATTCATCCATTTATCGTCCTTTATTTCTCTTTGCACTACCCTAACACGATTTATTCACATTCCTATCTCATTGGACTCATTTTTTGGGTGGGGGCCGAAAACAGGGTAGTAAGTTTGTCACACTAGCAGAGGATTCAAGAAGAGGGTGGATAGGGAGAGGTATGTCAAACTTGACAGTGCTATGATTTAACAGCACTTACCAAAGATAGGGACTACATGTATCCAAGCAACTGTTTCCAAAACTGTAAACTCACCAACTTCTACACAATAGCAAGCAATGGCCTCATTTGGGAGTAGGACCATAAAAGGCAGCACTATGTAATGTATGGGTTTTCCTAAAGTCAGAAATTACATTTCACCAAATGTCTATCATTATTTATAATCTACTAAAATATTATGAGAGATGACAGTGAAAGAAACAGAAAAAAACTAGATTTAATATTTCCTAAATTCCTAACATCTCAAAGTGTTCTGATTCTCTCTTGCCTATAGCAAAATTATGTTTTAAATATTTATAATCTATATAAAAGTTTTCATAACTGAGATTAAGAAAATCAAGCCACTGTCCTAATCACTAAAATCTAAAAACGACGAAGAAGAATAGGGAACAGAAAACCATAGGGCTCCTCCCTGCTCTGTTGAACATGTTCATAGAAAATTGAAATTTTTAGAAAAAAATACACCCCCAATCCAGGAAAATGTAAATAACAGATGGAGTAAAAGTATAAAACTTCTGTTTTATAACTAGGCTCTAGAATGTGTAAAGTGGGTCATATTTCTCTGAGATCACTTGCTCAAATGAGGACATTGCAGTAAATTACCTCAAACTCTCTGCAATCACTGAGATCAAGGGATTCCTTATCCAGAACCTGCTGGAATATGATTGTGGTCTGGGTAAAGCAGAAGCTTCAGAGCAGTGGTGTGCAAATTCCGTTCTGTGGTTTTCTTTTTCTTCATTGTCTGTTTCGTCTCAGTTTCTCTCGCTGCTGCCTCCCCCTCTGCTCCACCTCTAAATGCTGCAGTGGTTCTTTTAGCCTACGTCCAGTGCTTCTCTTCTCTACTCTGTTGCTATCAATGGCTTTGTGATATAATCCAGATACTCTCAAGTTTTATTTGTAGCTCTGCATTTCTCCCTATTTCCAGGCACATGGATCAATGATGTCTTTACATCTGCTCTTCAGTGTCCACAAATCATTTCAAACTTCGTGTATCCAAGGAAGAATCCTTGTTCTTTATCCCAAATGTACTCCTCTTTTAGTTTTTCTACTTATTTATTTGATAGGGCGAGAGAGAGAAAGAGAAGAGGGAGAGTAGGGAGAGAAAGGAGAGAACAAGGGGGGGAGAGGAAGAGAGAGGGAGAGACAGAGAGAGAGCACACTTCTATCAGCTGGTTTATACCCCAAATGTCTGCACCTGCCCAGGGCCAAAGCCAACAGCCAAAACCTCAATCTAGATCTCCCACTTAAGAGCTGAGATCCTGTCAGGTCTGTGTTACCAGAAAGCTAGAATCAGGAGCCAGGGGCCAGCATTGTGGCTGAGCAGGTAAAAGACACCTGCTGTGGTGCCGGCACCTCATTTGGGTGCTGGTTTGAGTCCTGTTTGCTCCGCTTCCAAGTTAGCTCCCTGCTAATGCACCTGGAAAGCAGCAGAATATGGCCGAAGTGCTTGGGCACCTGCACCCAAATGGGATACCCAGAAGAAGCTCCTGGCTCCTGACTTTGGATAGGCCCAGCTCTGGCCATTGTACCCATTTATTGTACCCATTTGGGGAGTGAACCAGTAGATGGAAGATTCTCTCTCTCTCGTTAAAGATTTATTTATTTATTTGAAAGTCAAAGTTACACAGAGAGAGAAGGAAGGAGAAGCTTTATCCACTACGCCGCAGCACCAGTCTCTCTCTTCCTCTCTCTCTCTCTGTCTCTTTCTCTCCCCCTCCTCTCTCTGTAACCGTGATTATCAATAAATGCATCTTTAAAATATCAATAAATCAATAAATACATCTTTAAAAAAAAGTACCTGGAGCCAAGTCAGATATGGAACCCCAAGCACTTTGCTGTGAGATAGGATTTTTTTTTTTGAGATGTATTTATTTATTTGGAAAGTTAGAGTTACAAAGCAAAAGGGAGAGACAGAAAGAGGGAGGTCTTTCATCTGCTGGTTCACTCACTAGATGACTGCAATGGCCAGTGTTGGACTAGCTGAAGCCAGGAGCCAGGAGCTCCATTTGTGTCTCCCACGTGGGTACAGGGGCCAGTTGTGGTGATAGCTTTAATGATATCATTCTGATTGGAACAATCTGAAAAATCTGTGTGCCAAAATTATATTTTTTATGTAAAGTAGAATTAATATGACTTCTACGTATGCCAAGTTGAATGCTGTGCAGAAAGCTAAAATGACTAGAATGTAAGCACTGCAAATCATAATTCAGTTATTACTAAAGCAAAATGTTATTTTACTTCCCTAAAAGCTGACACTTGTTTTTTGGTTATATATTAACTGGAATATTATGTTACACTTTGAGATCAGCAATTTCAACTCAATTTAACAGTATCTTTTGAGCAGTTACAGGTGGCAAAGCATTGTGTTACAGAAAGTTGAAAGAGCTTATAAAACACAATAACATGATTAGTAGAATAGAAAATAGAATTTTTGACAATAGGATAAAATATACAGTTATTTAGTTTTTAGGAAGAAATATACAAACAGTTGCATTATATATAGATTGTCATGTTTTCAGGAGAAGTATAAAGACAAAATTTCACCTAACATTAAGATATCATTGGAGAACAGCTTATTGATTCCCAGTGCTATGATTCAGTAGAAGTAATTTTTTTGAAACTTGTTTTTCCTTCCTGAAAAGTTCAAGAAACATTTAAAGTAGTATCTATTTGAAAATGTAATGTTGAGAGAATATCACACTAGATACTTTCTAAGCTCTCTCCATCTCTAAAATCCTACCATTACTTGCTTCCTCTCACCTTAATAAGATGGTAAGCACCTCTGTCTTCCAGTATGGTATCTATTCTGCTCACAAAAACATATATAATTGAAACTGCTCTGTCTTGGTAGTATAAACGTCTATTTTCCACTTAGAAAAGAGAATGAGCTGTGGTTTGTTGTTATTTAATGGAGGCAAGCCTGTGCTGAATCCACCTATGCAGCATCTGTTCTCTTAGCATGATTACTGCCACACCCACACCTGTTCACCCCTGTTACCTAGCTTGACAAGGCGGAGCATGGAGGTATTACTTCCTCTTTCCGTGCAAGCAGTTACTGAAAGGTTGTAGATGTCTCCTGGAGGCAAGCTGAGAATTGCGGTCATGACATTGCGTGTTACCTGCAAGAATATTGAAAATTGAGAGCTTAATCTTTCTAGTGAATGAGCCAGCGCCCACCCACACTCCAACAGACACAGAGCCATAGCAGATATTTCCTCTCTGCTGCAGTCTATAATGGATTATATTATGAACACAGTATATCCTCTGAACGCTATATATATTTATTTTTGAAAAATTTATTTATTTTGAAAGTCAGAGTTACGTAGAGAGACGGAAACAGAAGAGATATGGGCGTCACAAATGGTAGCTTTACCTGCTGCACCACAACACTGGCCCCTATAAATTTAACAACTGAGCCAAATGCCAGGCAGCACTAAAATTTAATAATACATATCAGATAGAATAATTTGATAGTAAATTTCCTTATTTAGAAAAGGGTATTCCTCTGTTTTCCACATAGTCACAGCAGGTTTTAGGAAAAGGTGTTGCTGGGGCCTGCACTGTGGTGCAGCAGGTTGAGCCCCATATGGGTGTGGGTTCAAATCTCTGCTGCTCCACTCCCCATCCAGCTCCTTGCTAGTGTGCCTGGGAAAGCAATGGAAGATGCTCCAAGTCCCTGGGCTCCTGCCTCCTATGTGGGAGAACCAAAGAAACTCCTGGCTCCTGGCTTCCAGCTGGCCCATCCTTGGCTGGTATAGCCATTTGGGATTGAACCAGCAGATGGAACATCTCTCTGACTCTCCTTCCCTCTCTCTCAGCAACTATGCCTTTCAAATAAGTAAATAAATAAAATAAATCTTAAGAAAAAGAAAGCAAAGGGGATTTCTGGGTTGTTATAGAACATTCAGGAGAAACTGAGCAGTGCCTGTACATCTATTGTGTCCTGACTACACATCCCATCCTTCCCGCAGCAAAGAGGCTACGTGACACAATCCCGACCAATGGATTTTAACCAGAAGTCACATGCACAACTTGGAGTTCAAATTACGTCCTGTAAGTGCTGGACTTCCAACGTTCTCTTATCCCTCCCTGCAGGCTGGAATTGGCTGCAATGACTTCCCTGTGTAGATGAGGACTCCACATAGTGGCAGATGGAGGAATAGAAGCTGGGTTCCTGGATGACTGCTTACAACAGAAAAGCCTTAGTCGCCCTGGGCTATCACAAGAGAAACATAAGCTTATATTGTGTTTTAGTCGCTTTCTTTTGTTTGTCTGTTTGTTGTTTTACGGTAGTTTCATCTGAACCCTAATTAATATAATGTTGAAAAGTCTAATGTACCAGAAGAAAAGGAATCAATATTTCCAAAATACCCACATATATAGGGAGAGTATTTACACTTAAATGTAAATAAAATCAGTAGTTACAAATATTTCAATACCTTGTTAAGAGACTCCAAGGTAAGCTCTAGGCTAGGAAGAATTTAATTTTTACTGTCCAATCTCCAGAGCCTAAAGCAGTGCCATCTGGCATACAAATATTTGTTCAATATCTCCATAAATGTTTATGTAATGATATTTGATAGTTCACACAACTATATTTTCAGATGCCTAATGCTGAAATTCAAAGAAACATACACTCTTTTTAATTTTCTTCTTTCCTTCTGCTACAACCATCCAGTGTAGCATTCTAGAATGTGACAGGTCTGTTGTGTCGTCCCCATATGTCCAGCTGATATATAGCAGGCTGTTGAAATATTCCACAGAAGTGATTTCTGGAGCTACTGGGGCTGGAAGGGAGAAAACGGGATAATTTAGTGTAACACACTAATGAAAATTAAAATACTTCTCAGTGAAACATGAAATCACATGTAGAGTTAAATTAGAGATTAAAATTCACACCACAGGTTGGCCTGGGGTCTAATGGACTTCTGCACAGCAGAGGGTAGGTGGGTGGTACAGGGTAGGTTTTTTATCCAGGGGACCCCACCTTGCTTATCTCATACACAAGAAAGCCAGACCCATTTATGCCTGAGGGTATAGCATGATCTTTTATATAAATTTTACAGTTACAAGATTCTTACACTATTCACTTACTTGATCAGGTACATTTATTGCACTAGTTAATTTAATATTAACAGACATTGGTAAAATTATTACCCAAACAGTATTTGAAAATGTGTGTTCTTTCATTGAGGGGCAGTGAAAAGTTTACAGGAATAAAGAGCAGTGGGATAGAGGGGTAGAAGACAAAAGTATTATAAATAGGATGGAAGACAAATGTAGGTTCCATAACATAACAGGCGGTGTCATTGGCACTGTCTGGTCCAGGCTCTGTAGCAAGCAGGCTCTTCATAAATGCTGCTGAAGGGAGTAGTAGGGGAAGGAAGGAAACGACTTTACTTTTTATCCTGTCACGTAACTAAATTGTAACACTGACATTATTTTATACTCTTATGCATTTAAAATTTGTTTTTTTTTTTAAAGATTTATTTTATTTATTTGAAAGACAGAGTTACAGAGAGAGGCAGAGTGAGAGGTCTTCCATCAGCTGGTTCACTCCCCAGATGGCCGCAAAGGCCGGAGCTGCACCGATCCAAAGCCAGGAGCCAGGAGCTTTCTCCGGGTCTCCCACGAGGGTGCAGGGGCCCAAGGACAGCCATAGCAGAGAGCTGGATTGGAAGAGGAGCAGTGGAATTGAACCGGCACCCGTATGGGATGTCGGCGCTTCAGGCCAGGGCTTTAACCCACTGTGCCACAGCACCGGCCCTGCATTTAAAATGTGAAAACTTTGCTACTTGGGAGGCAGTTTATCACAAACTTTATAATAGATGAGCTCTGAAAGCATATTTTAATTATTTTTCAAGTTATAGATAATGCTGAAGATGAAAAAATACTGAATATAGTACACAGTTGAGTTTAAATTCTACACATAAATTGGTTGGAAGATAAGCAAATGCTTCATTCTGAAATTCAAACCAAAGTCATGTAAAATATTTGGAGGAGGATTTCTATAAATAATAAAGAATTATTTTCTTTAATATTCTGCTAATAGTTATTACATTCACAAAGTAACTATACTTTCAAAACAATTTTTCACTGAAGCATTTATATAAAGTAAAAAAAAAGCATTTGTTTCAGGTGTAATGGGAGTAGTATTTCTTTTTTTAAATTTTTTTTTATTTGACACGTAGAGTTATAGACAGTGAGAAAGAGAGACAGAGAGAAAGGTTGGTTCACTCCCCAAGTGGCCACTACAGCCGGTGTTGGCGCCTATCCGAAGCCAGGAGCCAGGTGCTTCCTCCTGGTCTCCCATGCGGGTGCAGGAGCCCAAACACTTGGGCCATCCTCCACTGCCCTCCCGGGCCACAGCAGAGAGTTGGACTGGAAGAGGAGCAATCGGGACTAGAACTAGGTGCCCATATGGGATGCCAACACCACAGGTGGAAGATTAACCAAGTGAGCCATGGCGCCGGCCCCCAAGGGAGTAGCATTTTTATAGTGTTCAACAATAAAAACTTGAAATACCAACAATATATCTAAAAAGTAACACAAATCCACATCATGTTTCAGAATATTCTACAAAGGAAAATAAATTTTGTCGCTCCCCCTCTTCGTGGAGGAACGACACAGGACCCTGCGCTGTTCTTTCGTCTGCTCGGCCCTCCCCGGGTTTGCTGCTGGTTCTTCCTGGGTTGGCTACCGTCCCTTCCACCTCCGTGGAAGGGCGGTTCCCCCTGCCACTTTTCCCCACTTCCGCGGGGGAGCGGCACACCGCCGGCCAGCTCTCTCGGGGGCTACACAGGTGTTCCTTCAGATAGATGTTCCCCTTAGATGTTCCTGGTGCATGTTGTCTCTCTCCTCCTTTATAGTCCTCTTCCACCAATCCCAACTCTGCTACCCACACGCCAAGTACGCTGCTCTCCTCCAATCAGGAGCAGGTCCTACAGTTTATTGGTTGAACTGGAGGCAGCTGTGTAGAAGCTGTTTCTCCCTTCTCAGCGCCATATTGTGGGAGAGCAGATGCATAGAATAAGTCTTAATTCCAGTAACTTAGTCTAGTCCGAGTTGCTCCCCACAAAATTTGTCTTTTTTATAGTCTCTTAATATAGTCCAATAGTGTTTCATCATATACACATACATACACTTCAAAGTATATTTTACATGTTCTACTTGTAGAGAGGACAATAAATATTTTAAAATTACAAAGCCAGAAACGCATACCTTTCTGTCATATGCTCTCAGTCTTCAGATTTTCATACTGTGTGTTGCTTTAAAATCAAGCATATTACTAAAAGGCCACAAGATGTCACTATTTGTTTATTAGTCATCATTTGGTATATTAGCATAATTACTGAGTTTGGCTTGCCAAGTTGCCAAACAAAGAGAATAGACTTGAGGTCCTAATAAATAATATTTAATAAATATGTTTGCCTCTGTATCTCTTTACATTACAAAATTTGGTAATCTGGACTGATATTCAAAGCATAAGAACTTTATTTTTTTTAAATAAGACTCTTATTTGGAATGAGGTAATAATAGCAAAAAAAAAAAAAACTCCCCTCAAACAAATGAAAAATAAAAAAAAACCCACACACTAGAATTTCAACCTGTTTTAAAAAGTATTAAAGTTACACATTAGTAGTAATTTATATTGTATAATTTAATTCTGACACTGTTCTATGAGATAATAAGATACCCAGTTTATAGAAATGAGAATTTGAGATCACCTGTGTCAATGTGCTTAGATAAGACTGTAGACTGCTTAAGCATGACTTAATTGTTTGTCTCAGGAAAAGATAAGAAATTCTCAAAGATGAATTGATTGGAAACAATAGACCACTTCCCAAGGTAAACAGATTATTTATAAATCACAGTTTATTTATCCAGACTTCTATGTCCACCTAAATTGTTTCAAACCTAACCCATCTCAGTCACTTCCCCACCTTTTCCAGCACTTATTAAGCTATGAGCCAGAGCACCAAATTCTATTAATATTTAAAGTCTGACATCCTTCTTCTGAGACAAACCAAAGACTGTCAGGGTGGTGTTTGGAGACAGTCTGCTCCATTAGTCAGCTGTCAGTAGGTATAGAAGTCTGCGATCATTAAGATAATTGCTGGGAGCTCCACTGTGAACAGTGAGCAGGCCCAGGTGTAGCTGCTACGTCTGGGCCCTTTCCAGACAGTTGTCCCATCTGTGAGGAAGGAGTGTTCTCAGATAGGAAACCTCAGCAGTGATGAGCTGGAAGGCTTATTGATATGGTGAAATTTAATTACAGTTAAACATGTAATTAGTATGTAGTCAGGAGCTTATGGTATTTTCTCTTTTTTGGGGTATTCTTTAACTTTTCCTTTCTAATATTATTAACATCTAGAGCAGAGAGTGCTCTGGATACTGGGTTGTACAGAAACGTGACATACCGTCTAAGTTGTCTAAGAAATTCATGGGATAGATTTATTTCCATGTTTTTAACAGATAAGTTTCAACAAAATTGGATGTTCAGTAAGGATGCTACTTTGCCAAAATTATTCTTCATCTAACCATTTTTCTCCCCTGATTTCTCAGTACAAGTCTAACTACAGCTTTGAGGTCCAGCAAGAAGTTCTCAAAATCTTAGTTGAAATAGCCAAGTGTTTGTTAAATGAGCCCCTTTTCATTATCATCCCTATTTCACATGTCTACAAGACTGAGTCTTAGAAAAGTTAGCTTGCTCAAGGTTACATGTGGTACATGGCAGAGCCCCAGCTCAAATCCAGAACTATCTGCCTTCAGAGCCTATTTTTAAAATTATGTTTCTTGGGGCCGGCACCGTGGCTCACTTGGTTAATCCTCCGCCTGCGGTGCCGGCATCCCATATAGGCACCAGGTTCTAGTCCCGGTTGCTCCTCTTCCAGTCCAGCTCTCCGCTCTGGCCTGGGAGGGCAGTGGAGGATGGCCCAAGTGCTTGGGCCCCTGCACCCGCATGGGAGACCAGGAAGAAGCACCTGGCTCCTGGCTTCGGATCGGCGCAACGCGCTGGCCGTAGCAGCCATTTGGGGGGTGAACCAACAGAAGGAAGACTTTTCTCTCTGTCTCTCTCTCACTGTCTAACTCTGCCTGTCTAATAAAAAAAATTTTAAAAAAGATGTTTATTTATTTATGAGAGACATAGTGATGGATACTTAGACATAACAGAGAAAGACAGACATGGAGAGCTTCCACTCACTGGTTGTCCATCCAAATGTCCACAACAACTGGGACTTGTTTAAGGTGGAGCCCAAAGCCCCAGGAATGCAATCTCCACCTGGGAGACAAGGGTCCAATTCCTTGAGCCATCACCTAACACCTTCTACAATGGGCATTAGCAGGAAGCTGGAATAGGGTTCTGAGCCCAGGTACTCTGACACAGGGCACAGGCATTCCAAAAGGCGCCCCAATGGCTAGGCCAAATGCCCACTGCCAGAGCCTATGTTTTTAACAGCTGAATGGACCCTACTACAGTCAGTTGGTAACTTTATTAAACGGCTTAATAAATAAGGAAATAGAAGCAATCTAACAAATATAATCATCACATGACTGAAATCAATGGCATGTGTGATGTGAAGCTGACGACTCTGCCTGCCACCTTTCTTTTCCAATCAATCCCAATATGGAACACACAAGTCCAGGGCAGTGACTCAGAATAAAAATCAGCCAAGGGCAGGAATGCAGAATAAAAGTGATATTTTAGTTTTTAAAGATTATCAGCTAAACAAATAATGATTAGAAACAAGCACATTCTCTTCCGTGAAGTTGATGCTCAGTCAGTGCTGGGTGGGTAGCTGAAGCTTTCTGGAAGTGTGGCACCATTTCTCAAGTGCCACTCACCTGTGATGAAGCTTATGGTGGAACTGTCACAACAGCTCAGTTCTGGATCTCCCCATGTCACCATGGTTACCCGAAAGTTGTAGTACCATGCTGGCAACAGATTAGCTATTCTCTGAATGAGGAAACAAAAAAAGAGACAGAGAACAAAGGGGAAAAATAGTATTTTTGGTAATGTCCACTAGGTCATTTTAAGTAATTTCTCTTTCCTTTTTGGGGCACCTTTTTATGTCTAGTAAATAGTCCATAAAAAATTCTTTCTAGAATGAAGTGAGGCATAAATAAAATGAAATACAAACTATAATTTTTAAAAGGTGATTCAAAATAAGATCCCAATATTTCTGACTTTTGTTTCATTTTGCAACTTCCTGTTATACTATGCAAGTGAAATAACACTTATTAGTAAGTGACTGGATGAACCTATCCCCCTGTCTAAGACGGATAACTCACAGCTTGCATTATTCCAAGGTGGACCATGAGCAGGAGACCGTGTGAGTGGCGCTTCCTAGAATCCACCTGGGCAGAGGACAATCGTACTTCATGCATACCTATGTGAAACCTATACTTATAAAAAAATATTCTAGTCCCAGAAAGAGCCATCACTACCTGTTCTCCTGACAACCATTCTCTAATAGGCTGACATTACAGGTGCTTAACTGATTTGTAGCTGTCAAGAAGAGCCATCATTAGTCAGGCAGCATCAGTGAACCACTGAGTGCCTGAGGGAAAACTCAGGAGCAGAGAGAGAGCACTTGATAGCTCCCCTCAGCCTTAAGCAGGTTTCTTAGGACGAATTGTTGACTAACAAATTCAACTAGTAGTGAAAACTACATCCTCAAAATTTTCTCTCTCCCTCTAGTACTTGGCCACAATTTTCTCTCTCTCCCTCTCATAACAAAAATGGAACTCCAAACACCCAAAAAAACCTAGTAGCAAGACAACTAACATGTGTGTGCAGCAGACCCCTTGTGTGTAGCTACAAAATGGTAACTTTTCTGACAGTTTTGACAGAGCAACACAGGAACCCATGGTGGCATGGCGGCGGCTAAGGAAGATTACCACGGAAGCAGTTAAGGAGACAGTTGCGGCTATTTCATAGTAGGTGGTCCACTCAGATGTCATAGTTGCAGGGTTGAAATAAAACATTTCAACCACGTATTTTCTGAACACTCCTAGGTAAGGTCTGGTCCAGCTCAGAACCACTGCTGTAGGACCCAAGGGATAAAGCATTAAGTCCTTTATTCCAGTGGGCACTAAAAAGAAGAGAGATGGGTGTGAAAAAATAAAGCCAGAAAGGAAAGTTTAATCTTAGCAATGACTTGAAACTACTACTTTATAACCATTGAAAACCAAAGTAAATGCATTTGCCTCTGATTTTTCCCCCTACATGGTAAATTCTATATTTTTGCCAACTACATAATTATAGTTTGCCAATTATATAATTGTAGTTATTTATGACTGCTAGTCATCCTCGTCTATAGATTTCCATGTCAGAGATTTAACCAACTCAAGGTTGAAAATATCTGAAAAAAAAATTGCATCTGTGCTGAACATACATAGTCTTTCTTTCATGTCATTATCCCCTAAGCAATGTTTATACACCTATTTATATAATATTTACATTGTTTTATGTATCATAAGTAATCTAGAGATATTCAAAGTATTCATGATGGCAGGATGTATGTAGGTTATACACAAATTCAATACGTCATTTTAGATAAGGCAGTTGAGCATCTGAGGATTTTGATATATGCAGGGGGGTCCTGAAACCAACACCCCATGGACACTAAAGGATGGCTGAAATCTGAAGAGGGAATATTGGTAAACTAGAATAGATCTTCCACAGACAATGATAAAGATTTAAGCTTGCACACTGCATCCTCCCAACCAATACCCTGACAAAGATAAGTCATTTTCTTAAGGCAAGGGACTTACCAATGGCAAATGTCACAGGATCTGAAGGTGGTCCAATCAGAGGGCCTTTTCTTAGGTACATCACAACCTGGTACTGGGCACCAGGAACCAGATTTTCAATAATACGTTTGCTTGAGTTCACCTTTAAATCAAACACCCAATAAAAATTTATTTAGAGTTGGGCTTGAAGAATGCGACAGCAAGGCTGAAGCTGTGTTCAAGGACTTTTTGTAGAACCACGGAGGACTTTGAAATTCAGAATCCTTTCCTCACGGTGGGGAAGGTCAGATTTTAAAAGCAGGATGATTTATAGTTTATGTAAACACTGAAAGGAAACCAGAACATTCGAATTCTATGGCTGGATTTAATAAGACCTGCTGTGAACTGCTTTATACCCATCAATGTCATTTGTAGCTATGCACATGACAGACACACCAGCCTCTAGCCGTAATCAAATCAGCAATACCATAGGGTAGTCTGACATCCTAAATTGTAGTGTCAGCTGATTATGTACAAAGATCAGTGCAGGGATGTCTTGTCTCTCATGACTTAGAGGCATATAATATCCAATTATAGAGACATAAATGACCTCAGAGATTATCTAGGACAAATCTCACATTTAATAGATTGAGAAAATAAAGCCAAAGAATGGCCAAGGTCACATACTTAGATTCAGTGTTGGAACTAGAACCTAGCAATGTGCCTTCTAATGTATACTATGAACAAGTCACTGGGCTGAGCATCAAGACAGTGATCATCACCCCTCAAGGCTGTTGTAATCCCATGAAATATGGTTGTATAGAACATTTCTTATTAAATGAGCTCTTTCATAATTACTGTTCTTTAAAAAGCATATAAACCTATAGATGAATAAGATGCATTTATTAAAATTGAGTGTTGGTATACAGAAGGATTGATGATCCAACTAACATGTTAAGAAGAGTGCTTCTGGGGCTGGCACTGTGGTGTAGTAAGCCTCCACCTCTGGTGCTGGCATCCCATATGGGTGCTGGTTCATGTCCCAGCTGCTCCTCTTCTGATCCAGCTCCCTCCTAATGCACCTGAGAAAGCAGTGGAAGATGACACAAGTGCTTGGGCCCCTGCACCCACATGGGAGACCTGGAAGAAACTCCCAGTTCCTGGATTTAGGTTGGTCCAGCTCTGGATGTTGTAGACATTTGGGGGGAGTGAACCAGTGGATAGAAGACCTCTCTCTATCTATAACTCGGCCTCTCAAATAAATAAATGTCTTTAAAAAAAAAGAAGTGTGCTTCTTTGATCTTTAGTGTCTTTATTATGTAAAACAGTCTTGCTTAGTTGGAATAACATAGGTTCTCTTTCAGAACACCTTAAATCAAGCATGTGGATTTATTTATGTTTTATTTGAAGTTCTTATCTTGTTCTCTTCATTGCTAAATAGTAGTAATATATGTCTCACAGAGTTGTTAAGACTGTGTCAACCAAATTAACAATAAATGTTAAATCTTACCAACATTTTGTCACTTGGGATACACAGAATTGCAGAATTGCTGCAGGAAGAACACAAATCAATGTATAACAATTTGGTTGACAACTTACTTATGTTGTAAATTTTTAAAAATACTTACATATTTATTATGAATGCAGAATGATACAGAGAGGGAGAGACAGACAGACACCCATATCGAGAGAGAGAGAGAGAGGGAGAGAGAGAGAGAGCGAGCAAGAGAGAGCGAGCAAGAGAGAGCGAGCATTCTTCCATCCTCTGGCTTGCTCCCCAAATACCTGCAACAGCCAGGGCTGATCCAGGACAAAGCCAGGAATTAAGAACTCCATCTGGGTTTCCCACATGCATGGCAGGGACCCAAGTACTTAGGCCATTACCTGCTGCTTTCCCAGGTGCATTAGCAGGAAGCTGGAGCAGCCAAGAGTTGAATTGGCACTCTGATGTAAGATGTCAATATGGCAAGTGTCAGCTTAACCTGCTGAACCACAATGTCAGCCCCATACAATTTTCTAAAAGTCTCATGAATATTTTGAGAATAAAAATACTACTGATTATATGATATGAATTTGAAAGTTTTATAATATCAGAAACTCATTATACACAGAATTATTCTATGATTCACATCTGGACAACTCGTACACATAAGTGGAAGGAACAGTGTATATCAAATTTCTTTTAAATGAGCTTTATCAGAGAAGATTAGTTGAATTAACAGGTTAGCATTTCCACCCTTCCTTTCCTATTTATATTCTTTCTTATCAAGATTTCTACCCATGTTTTAGACTTTTAATTCTACTGGAATCCTTATTGACAAAGCTAATCAACTGGAAGTCCTCATCTGATACAGCATTTCCAAATGACACTAAGCATGAATAAGAACATTCATGCTACCCTCTACTAAGCAGTACTGTCTTATTTCCTTAAAAAACTTTCTAGGGCAGGTGTTTGGCCTAGTAGCTAAGATACCTGCGTCCTATACAAGAATACGTGGGTCTGGGATACCTGGCTCAGGACTGTGACTCCAGCTTCCTGCTAATGCAGACCTTGGGAGGTAGTGGTGATGACTCTAGTAATTGTGTCCTTGCCACCCATGTGGACTTGGATTGTATTCCCAGCTATGGCTTGGCCCAGCCTAGACATTTGGTGAGTGAACCAAAGGATGTGAGCTCTCTAGATATTTTTCCCCACTGCCTTTTAAACTAATAATAGCAACAATAATGACAAAATGCATTCTAAGTGATAAAGTGAGCACACTCATTGTAAAAATAGTTCACATAGTAGATGAGTCACAATGAAATAAATTGAAAAACTTCGAGTTCTCCTTCCACAAATCCTGACATTGTGGTAAGAATTCTCCTAGACCTGCTCTAACACATATACATAAATACTATGATACCAATCTGAATATGTGCTATTTGCATAAATATTGCTCCAAACTTTTCCTTAAACTCAAGAATAAATTGTAGACATCCCCCCATAACCATCAATGGTGACCTAGTTAATTAATCACCCATTTTGCTTGTTTAGAATATTAAAATGACACAGGACATAGAGTGTAGATTGTTTCAGGATGGTGCTAAAATTTCTGTAGTTGTCCAATATTTTTGGCAAAAGTTGATTCTGTCCATTCAAATGAATACCTGGAGTCACAGCCATTTAAATTTGCCAGTATAATAAATTCATCCAAGGAAAGCTGTATTTTTTAAATAAGAAGCAGCTTTGTAGACAAATATCCATTAAAGAGTGACAAGAGGGCAATAGTATTACAAACTACCTGCCTTGGTGACAAATTATAAGCACAAAATTTCTCATCAATTTCTGAGTTTCTGCTGATCTGCAAACCTGTATTCACATTTCTGTCTCTTCATTTCTTTTTTTCCCCTTCCTCCTCCCCTTCCTCATCCCCTCCCCTTGCTCCTTCTACATGAATGATATGTAACATGTGCACTAGCTGGGGCAAGGGAGAAATGGTACATTGCTGCAGGTGTAAAGAGCCAGTCTCCTTGGATATGCTTAGGGAAGGATAGGCTGCACATTGAGTTGTGATTAGCAGGTAATCAGTTCAGCTCATTTACTGGGGAATTTACTCAAGTCAAGGGGTAGCCTCACCTTCAAGTATGGTCTGATCTCAGCATTCTACTGCCTTCTAGTGCTCTGGGGGCCTTGATTCCTGCATCCGCCTTATAAATTTAAAATTTCCCACTGTTTGAATTGTACTAAATGCCTAATTTTCCTAGGCAGAATGAAAACACTCCAAATAACTTTCCCATAGCAAACATTCTTCTGAGTACTACATTTCCAACCTGCTCCACATCAATCGACATGAATTGCTCTACTTGAATTGCCTGCAGTGAAGAAAATGTGTTTGTAAAACACCAGGAACTCTCAAATACGACCTTATGAAAAAATGAAGCCAGATTTTAGGAGATCAGGGCGTGGCCTGGGGACTCAGGGCTCCTGACAGCAATGCTCCTCCTGGCTCAGGGTTGTACAGTTTCTTTCAGGACAGGTGAGGGGTGTGTGCACGCATTCTGCAGTCATTCAAGATGATGGTGGCATGCTGCCTCTGCCTGTCCCCAACCTGGCTCCCCTTCCAGGTCAGCTAACTCATGTTTAATCCCTCCCACCTCCTCTCAGTTGTGATTAATGGGGAGGAGTTTTTTGCTTTATGTCCTTTGGGCTTTTCAATTGTTGTTCCAGCAAGCATGCATTACTTTCATAGGCAAAGATGAAAAGAATAGGGAAAAGTAAAACTGAAAAGCCAAAAAATCCTCAAACTCTCCTCTCTTGGCAATGTTTTTTTCTGACCAGTTTCTACATCTTCTGTCTCCTGAAGTTGTATCATTCATGCCCAGCTCCTCACTTCTGTAAATTCAGACCCCGTTGCTGTCTTTCACTTTCTGTCTAGGCCTTATTCTATATGGTGCAGTCATCATGTGTTCACATACCCCTTGTTCTTAGATTACAGGATCTGCCAAGAGCAGGATGTTTAAACGTTATCTAGATCTCCAGCATGTTTCCTACTGCCTGAAACATTGTTAGTGCTTAGCAAATTCTCTCAAATAAAGAATGAAGGTGAAAGGCACATACATGGTCCTCCTAGAAAGGAAATGGAAGATGGTGGTGTAACTGAAGGGCCATTTGTAGCATTTCTTGGTCCCTCTCCTGGCTCCTGCAGATGCTGCTTGCAACATACCTGCCTGGGAGACCTCAGCAGGGCTTCTAGCCATCACCTCCTTGCATTGCCCTGTGAGGCTCTGCCTCAGTAGGGCGGGTGCGCCTGGCTACGTGCCCTGTGCTTTACCTGTGTACAGTACTGCTTTTCAAGCCTCTGGCTCTCCTTTTGTTTCTGGCAGGTCAGTGACACCACAGACACAATGGTGCTGTTATAGTTCTCCTGGGAAGATGTCCAGGACATCAAAGCAGTGGTCGAGCTTAAAACATGGACGCTCACATGCTGGGGCTTCTCTGTCAGCTCTTCAATCCACTCTCCTGTAGGACCTGAATGTTTCAAATCAGAACAAAAGAAAAGTTGCAGATGGTAAGATGCTAGCTGTACAAATCATGTCGTTTTCCATTTGCCCTAACAAAGATAATCAAAGCAAGACTGGCAGTAAAACCGGTAGCTTCTCAGAACCTCTGTCCAGTTATAGCTCTAGGAGCACCCCACTGATCTGAACAACCGTAGCCTTAGCAACAACAAAATACTTCTACCCAGAGACAAGAGTCCCACCTCAGTGGTCACGGGCATGCTGACAGAATCTTCAGTAGGGAGACTTTCCTTTACATTCAACAAAGTGGAAATAGCAGTGTTTCAAATTCCTTTGCTACCAGGACTTTTGGTCTCCAGAAATAATTACTTGAGATTAAAAATAGCCCCTGTGGCTCACTAGGCTAATCCTCCGCTGCGGCACCGGCACCCTAGGTTCTAGTCCTGGTTGCTGCTCTTCCAGTCCAGCTCTCTGCTGTGGCCCAGGAGGGCAGTGGAGGATGGCCCAAGTGCTTGGGCCCTGCACCTGCATGGGAGACCAGGAGGAAGCACCTGGCTCCTGGCTTCGGATCAGCACAGCGTGCTGGCTGTAGTGGACTCTTGGGGGGTGAACCAACGGAAAGAAGACCTTTTTCTCTGTCTCTCTCTCTCACTGTCTAACTCTGCCTGTCAAAAAACAACAACAACGAAAACAAAAACAAAAACAGCCTCTACTGCAGTCTTGTGGAAAAAGTGAGATTTGGCAACCATGGGATCAAGGAGATAGGCTATGACTGTGAGAGAAGGAACAGACAACAAGCTGGTCAATTAAAGGACCAACTAAAACCTGGGTGATAATTTGATGGATGTGGGGGGTTTGTATTATTATAAAATATATCCATGTTAGGGCCCAAAGCTGGTCTTGTTCACTTGGGTCTAAAGTGGTTTCGAGCACAGTGCCTGAGAACTAAGGATTTAAGAAATGTTAAGATGATTATTAACTACAGAAATTCTTTGTTGAAATGCAAATGTGTACCTTCTTTTTATTTGCTTAGGATGCATTTCTAAATTCCTTAACAGGAAGCTCCATTCCTAGGCTGGATCCCGGGACAGGAGAAGAAAGGGCTCAAGTGGCTCTGCTGGGGTGAAGATGCGGGGGGCAGACTCATGCTCAGTGTGAATGGTGCAAGGGAAATGATAATTAAAAAAGATAATAATGATGAGCAGAGTCAATTACATGCTAGGCACTGTTTTAAGTTTACATGTGTTCAAGTATTTGAATCCTTTAATTTTTATAATAAACAGACGAGACAAGTATTATTATTATTATTATTATTTTTTTGACAGGCAGAGTGGACAGTGAGAGAGAGAGACAGAGAGAAAGGTCTTCCTTTGCCGTTGGTTCACCCTCCAATGGCCGCCGCGGCCAGCGCGCTGCGGCCGGTGTGGCGCGCTGCGGCCGGCGCACCGCGCTGATCCGATGGCAGGAGCCAGGAGCCAGGTGCTTTTCCTGGTCTCCCATGGGGTGCAGGGCCCAAGCACCTGGGCCATCCTCCACTGCACTCCCTGGCCACAGCAGAGAGCTGGCCTGGAAGGGGGGCAACCGGGACAGAATCCGGCGCCCCGACCGGGACTAGAACCCGGTGTGCCGGCGCCGCTAGGCGGAGGATTAGCCTAGTGAGCCGCGGCGCCGGCTGACGAGACAAGTATTATTATTAAATCTCCCTTTCATATGAAGAAATGGAGGCAGGAATAGGACAAGTATAGCTGGGATTCAGACACATGAAGTATGATTCCAAAATCCAGGCTCTGAACTCTACGAGACTTCCTGGAGCACCATGAAATAGTGAAAGCATCAGTTTGGAGGTGGAAAATTGGCCCACGACCCACTTATGCTTACAATTAGTGGTGTAATCTTTGACAAGTGATCAAATTTTTCTGAATTTCATTCATTTGCTCTGCCAAATGGACATATCTTGGAACGTTAGAATTGGAAAGAATTATTTTGTGGGTGAGGAATCTGAGTCCCATAGACATTGCCCATTGTCCTAGAGCTAGTAACTTCTTGTGACCTAACCAGAACTCCTGCCTCCCAAGTCAATGTTTTGTGACAACATGTCATAACAGCACCTGCTTAATCTCCAGTAGGCTGTGGTTGTGATCACATGAAATAGTGTATAGTAAAGAACTATATAACTGAACTGCTATTACTATTAGGAATATTCCTGGTCTAGTAGGGCACAGACAGAAAAAAGTAGGAGTCAATCAAACAAATTCAAGCACTCAATAGTTTTTAAAGGCTGACCTGAAAAATCAACCCAAGATAATGGGTCATTGCAAGCTACACAGAAATGGACTTTGTTATCAAATAATCCTAAATTCTAGTCTGCATTCTGACATTTACAGAAGCATCTGAACATTTTGTAACTCAGTATTTTTCCCGCATGCAAATAGGGGATAATAAGGATAATAAAAATGTTCGTTTGAGTGGGCTTTTGGTATAGTGGTTAAGACACCACTTGGTAGAGCTGGTTTGAGGCATAGAGGGTTAAGCTACTGCCTGGGATGCCAGCATCCCATATGGGTGCTTGCTTGAGACCCAGCTGCTTCATTTCTGATCCAGCTCCCTGTTAATACATCTGGGAAAGCAGTGGAAGATGGTCCAAGTGCTTGGGCCCCAGCACCCACATGGGGGACCCAGAGGAAGCTCCTGGCTCCTGGCTTCAGACTGGCCCAGCTCTGGGTGCTACAGCCATTTGAGGATTGACCAGCAGATGGGAGATTTCTCTCTCTCTCTCTCTCTCTCTCTCTCTCTCTCTGTGTCTCTCCCTTTCTCTGTAACTCTGCCTTTAAAATAAAATAATAATAAAAAGACATCACTTGGTTTGTCTGTATAGCATATCAAAACACCTGGGTTTGACACCTAGGTCTGCTCCTGATTCCAGCTCCCTGATAATGCAGACCTGGGAAGGAAGCAGAGAATGGCCTACATATTTGGGTCCTGCTTTTCACATGGGAGACATGGATTGATTTCCCACCTCCTGGTTTGGCCTTGCCAAGCCCTGGCTATTGTAGGCATTTAGGGAGTGCCTAAGATGAAAGGAGAGAGCTGCCTATCTCCTATGTCTCTCTGCCTTTCAAATAAATTAAGTAAATATTTAAAAATGTAAAAGAAGAATTAAACTTGGTAAAAATGGTCCTGTCCCTTCATAAGGCTGTTGGGTGCCTAATGTAAACAGTGACCTAAATTATCATCTCTGGTGGAAAGACTATCACATTTGTGATAAATATGAATCATAATGCACCAGCCTAAACAAAAATCTTAAGGTAATTATGTGGCAATTCAGGTATCAGAATGTCTGAAACAATGTGCTGCAAATATAATTTAGCTAATGTGTGACTACTCTGTGTTGAGTGAAACTAATATGCCTTCATTTGTTGCTCACTTACCCAGTTAAGTATTTAGTCTGCAGAATTTATATATACATATATATATACATATTTAAATTTTTTTGTTCTTGGCTTGCTTTTTTTAAAAAATATTTATTTATTTATTTATTTATTTGAAAGTCAGGGTTACACAGAGAGAGAAGGAGATGCAGAGAGAGAGAGAGGTTCTTCATCCGCTGATTCACTCCCTGATTGACTGGACCGGCCAGAACTGTGCCATTCCAAAGCCAGGAGCTTCTTCCAGGTCTCCCGCGTGGGTGCAGGGGCCCAAGAACCTGGGCCATCCTCCACTGCTTTCCCAGGCCACAGCAGAGAGCTGGATTGGAAGAGGAGCAGCCGGGACTCGAACCGGCGTCCTTATGGGATGCCAACACCGCAGGTGGAGGATTAACCAAGTGAGCCACAGTTCGGCCCAAAGAAACATTCAGCCTTGTGGGAAGAACTGAACACTCCACTTCACTCCCACTCTCAAGCGCTCTCATGGCAAAGGTCCCCGCACCAGAGTCACACCAGGCAGTCACAAATGCCCTTTCTGCGTGTCTGATGGGTCTTTCAGGACTTTCACTCCTGGTAAGATTTTTGGGTTCCTAAACAAAATGTTACATGGAGGGAGGGGAATTTGGGACATTTTTAAGCTTCTAAATAACTGATTTCATTTCCCCACCCCAGGTCCACATCCCTATCCCCTAGCCCACCACTGAGGGTTATTTGATGATTATTTATTTTATTTTGCCTTTAGAGAAGGCAATCAGGTATATGGTGGTCGTTCTTTCCTGATAACAAGTTTTGGCCATTGCCATCTCATTTTCTTTGTGCTGATGGAGACATACGTGTAACTGCTGATAAACTAGGAAAATGATTTTTAACCTCAACTTTTAGTAACCATACTTGAGGTAAAAACAATCTAGGGACATGCACTCTTTGTGCAGGCTGTAGAGATCTGGTTTCTCTCTGCCGTTATCCTTTCTGGAATCAGTAAATGTTGCCCTAAAATTTGAACGTGTGGCTTTTAGTATGCTCTTTGTCTTCTGCCAACGTTATGGATTCCACCTGGGTGTAACTATGCTTAAATCCTTGTCTGTCTTCTCAGCTTTACAGACCCAACACTCTGTTGAGATATTTCACACAATCCTGTAATATCAGATTTCATTATGCCCTCAAACAGAAAGTCGTATTTCCCACACCATATGTCCAAGTCCTTGGAGACTTTGTTATGGTTAGAATAGAAGGTCAGTTTAATAAATGTTCAATTATCACAGCAATAAAAACATCTTCAAGTCAGATACCCTGAATAGGGTTGCTACCATCAAACATACCTACATTTTCTCTGCTGTCAGATACTCATGGAGCTGGGCCTCTCCTGAACTTGAAAATTTCTCAGGGTCCCTAAGGTTTGTGAATAATTGACCACCAAGTATCATTAATCTCACCAGTTTCATTGTGCTAGTTCCTCCTGTAAGTGCAAAATAATTTCTTTGCTACTTACTGATATAAAAGCTTAGTGATTTTGCTGACTGACTTTCTCGAGTTTCGCAAGATCCTGAGGCACTAAAGGTTGTCACAGATAACTTGTATTTCCCGGGCTCCTTGAGTTCTGCAACAAATTCATGCGCCTCTTCATCCACTGTCGAATATTCAGTGAAGTTCTCTAAACCAAACATAAAAAGGAAAATATATATATATGTATGAAAGAACACCTCCTTGTAGGGCCAGTCAATTAATTATTTTAAAAATTACTTCTTTTGTTAATTACACCTCTGAAGGTACCAAAAACAAGAAAGATGAAGGGCAGCTCAAAATTTTCACATTTCAACATTTTAAAAAAAACTAAAATATGATCTCAAACCAATAAAGCTAGGAATGGGTATAGACTTTGTATGCTTATCTACTCTTCCCTAACAAAATTCTGTGCATAAAACAGAAGTAGAGCATTCTGAGAAGATGGTAATCATTGGCTTTGGAAGAAAAACAATTCGCATAAAATGTTTTGTAAGTTCTTTGTGGTAGCATTAAATACCCAGAAATGCTTTAAAATACATTAAATACTTTCTCATAGAAATAACTATTCTGTATATATTTTTGGACATTTGCATTATTTATCCTTCATTTACTTGCTTCCAGAAATTTTAAGTTTTGCATGGCTTCACTGCCCATCTCCTGCTGTTTATCCCTTCATTTGAAGTTGTTATCATCAGTTGGTGACTACAGCAGCCTTTGAAAGAACACACTGTGGTCAGATAAAAGCGTGATGGAACTTTCCTGAAAGTAGCAAGAAATATTCTGTTTCAAGATCCTATTTTCCACAGAACAGACTAAGGAGGCTTTTTTTTTTTTTTTTAAATTATAAAGCAACCCAGGCAAATTACTTTTCACTCAAATAATTGGAAATGATGAAGGATTTGAGTTTTATGTAACATTTTGATATGATTGATTGCTCTACTACCAAGCATAGAAGAATCTACAGGCATTGTATCTCATTCTGTTAATAAAATAGGAGTAAACAAGTACATCACATGTGAGACTACATGATTCTAATGTCGTATCCTGACAATAAGGCTGTCACTATAATTCAAATTTGGCAACCTGACAACTCTTGTCACCCAAACTACTTAACTGCAAAGTATAAAATAAAGTAGTTATTGTAAAAACAAAACAAAAAAGAAATGAATACAAAAACCTACTAAACACAAGTGGTATATGATTCATGGCCCAAGTTACTAAACTGGAAAATAGAAAATGATTTAGTAAAAATATATCAAGCAACAATTGAGATATTATGTACGATATATGACCCATAGTTGCTGAATGCCATAGCTCTGCTTTCATAAATTGGTGGACTAAAATATGAAGAATAAATTCCAAATACTGCATAAGTGAATACATGATATATCATGAGAGTGCTTTGAAAGGTTCATGGGGCCGGCACCGCGGCTCACTAGGCTAATCCTCCGCCTCGTGGCGCCGGCACACCAGGTTCTAGACCCAGTTGGGGCGCCGGATTCTGTCCCGGTTGCCCCTCTTCCAGGCCAGCTCTCTGCTGTGGCCAGGGAAGGCAGTGGAGGATGGCCCAAGTGCTTGGGCCCTGCACCCCACGGGAGACCAGGATAAGTACCTGGCTCCTGCCATCAGATCAGCGTGGTGTGCCGGCCACAGCGCGCTGGCCACGGCGGTCACTGGAGGGTGAACCAACGGTAAAAGGAAGACCTTTCTCTCTGTCTCTCTCTCTCTCTCTCACTGTCCACTCTGCCTGTCAAAAAAAAAAAAAAAAAGGTTCATGGAATGTGCTTGATCTTTTAGTTCCATTTTTCCACAAACTTTTGGAAGCCTCAAAGAATAGCCACAGTGGAAATATTAATTGCTGTGTATTATCTGTTTGACTATGAACTCCTCTTTAGGAAAATGTAGGTGCTGCTTCCAGAGAGCTTACCATAAGAGGATTCAGAGTAGCTAGGTAAGCAGGACACAGTTCTCACACTCTTGGTGGTATATTTTGTTAGAAAAATTATTTTCTGCATATTTCACACATTTGCATACGAGAAAACAAAATTTCTCAAAAACATTCTACAATATTTGTAATGGTCGGATATTTCACCCAAAATATTTTTGAATATAAAGTTTTCTTGAGTAGCCTGGTGTATATGAAATGTTGGGCAGTGAAGTGTATACAGTTGCTAGTGATTGTAACTCATCAATCACACAAACTTGATTCTGATCTATTTTCTGCTCTTAGTCTGCAAGGAACACTCAATTAAACTCCTCTTTCTTTACCTTTCGTTTAGATATCAACTGTCTACCAATCATCCTTTCTTTCTAAACTCAAGTTGAAAAACATTCCTAGGGTGCATGTGTGGCCTAGTAGTGAAGCCATCAGTTGGGATGTCCACATCTCACATGGGAGTTTAAGGGTTTGAATCTCTGCCAATGTTCACCTTGTGAAACGGCAGGTGATGGCTCACATAGTTGGATCCCTACCACCCACATGGGAGATGTGGATGGGGTTCTTGAATCCTGGGTTTGGCCTGGCATTTGGGAGCATTTAGGGAAGTGAATCTGTGCACCAGAGTTTTTTCTCTCTGTTTCTCAAATAAATAAGTAAAAATTAAACAAAAATACAAACATTTCAATTTCCATTCCTTTGTAGCGTTTCTGAATTCCTCTGATTTCCTATGGCCTTACCTTCTCTCTCTATGTGAATATGGAACCCATCAAAGGCAGTGGGGGGTTTTGGGGGTAGCCAGCTCAATATCATTTGCACAGGGAAGAAAGAGAAAGGGGCTGGTGTGGGCTTCTCAGCCTCACTGAGTGTATTGTTATTTTCGTATTCCATGGGAAGTACACTGACAAATTCATCTTCACTTTCAGGAGTTGCAGATGCGCTGTCCCACCAATATGGCTGAGACGTAGTTTCATAGTCACTGCTATTAAAATCAGGCCAACCAGAAGAAATGTTTCCAGATGGCTCAGGAGTTTCCTCTGTAAAATGGAAGATTCTGTCTTTTTCTATTGTTTCTGGTGATCTCATGAATGATTCCTCTGGGAAACTGCCACTCTGTTCTTCCCAGTTGTTTTTGTTCAAGTTTACAATTCGAACAGAAATATTTCGAGGTGGATAAGGAGCTGTAAAAGAAAGGATGCTCATTTTCAAATAATTTTAAAATCTATTATACTGAATACTTAATCTATTAATTGAATACAGAAGCATATGTATTAAATAGTTTAATTTTAAAAATTCAATTCTAGTATACAGACAAACTTATGTGAAGAACAAATGTGGTTTTAAGTATACATATCTCTAATATTTTGTGAGTGACATGTCATCCACAAAATGTACATATGTGTATACTAACATATCACCAATCACACTTAAAATATCTTGTATTTGTCAAGTAGTAACTTAACCACTTCTAAAGCAAAGTTATGAAAATATTTTTCACTTTATCATACCTTCACTACAGGAAAAGTGTCTCTGTATCTTGATCTTTATTATAAAAACAAAAACATTAAAAAAACAAAAAACAAAATCCCTCAACAATAGTATACTTATAACTAGTACCAAGATAAAAATACTCCATGTGACACAGCTGCACCCAGGAGAGTTGCACGCATGATTTGCCTTTGGAGATCTTAACACACATGTTGGAAATATGTCTTACCTTCCGATGTACATAAAATGAGACATCTGAGCACAAAATGAGTTTGCACACTTTTCTAGAAGTGGAAAATTACGAAGACACTGCATGGTCTCTGTCTGCAACAATTTCTACCTAACTGTCAACAGCAGCTCAACTAAGATCTCATCCATGAATTTCTAATAAAAATTAATCCCTCCTTCCCCTGTGCTTTTAAGTAAGTTTATATCTTTTTTATAAGAGGTATCTCATTCTGCCTTGTATGACTGGCATTTGTGCAAAACCTGTACTACATTTGTTGAAAGCAGAGTCCCCGAGTTCCCAAGTAGAAGTTGCTCGGGTAAGGATGTTTCTTTACTTGAACTACAAAATGAAAAATACAAATAGAATCTTAATGTGACATGAGAAAGAGTCTGTTTTGGCCTTAGTAAAGAAGAAGCATGACTTTCTAGGTGTGGTCTATCATAACCAATCCCCAGTGCTGGTGTGAGTGGCCTCTCCAGCAACCAAGCAGGTACCAGGCACATTAGGCACTCTCAGTATAGTCTTTGCTGGCAAAGTGTATTTAGTAGGTATATTTTTATTTTACCCATCCATTCTTCCTTCTGTCCATCCATTCTCTAATAGTGTTTCACACCAATAATAAGCTAAAATTAAGCACTGTGAGTTTTAGATATATCTGCATCCCAGTATTTTCCTTTGATAATCTGATGATTAGTGCTAGAATATTTCCCTCTGCTTTTCTGCTATGTTGGCATTTGTCAACTGATGTAAACTACATCTAGTTAAGTTACTTAATTATAACTTTTGGTAGTGTCACATAACTTTTAGTTTAATAAGTATAAATCAGTGATTACATAGACACATTTCAGATTTTTCTTATTTAATATTTTGCTCAGTTCCTTCTCCATTGACAGGAAATTTTGTTTTAAATGATTAAAAGTATTTATATTTACTTTCTTAGACTTGGAATAGAATTCAAGAGTACTTCAAATAGAAAATAAAATCAAAAGACAAGTTTATTTTCATGCAAAAATAATTTGAAATCAATATATGTTTGTTTCACAAAGTGCATTTTCCATGAACCTTTTGAAGACCCCTCATAGGTATAGATTTCAAATTGTTCTGCACCAAAATGAACTTATTTAAATTCTATTTTCCACAAACTTTTTGAAGTATCCTCATATTTCTTAGAAAGATAAACCTAAACACACAGCGCCATGTAACTTATTTATTAATACACTGAGTTTGATTCTTCAGAAGACTTACCAGTTCTGTGCTGCTTCGGTTCATGGCTGACACCACTGTACTCCACAAGGGTACTTTTATTAAAAGTTGCCTCAGAAACCAGCTGAAAGGTGATATTACTATAACATATTCCTGGCAGCCAGTGATTAAATACTGTTTTTCCCTTAAAGAAATCTGGGAGAAGAAAAGTTACTGACATTAACATTATTGTCTTCTAAATATCACATGCTTCTAGAAAATGTCAAATAATTCCAGTTAAATATCCATAAAATAATATTTCCCCAACTTCTGGCAGGTCATTTATAAAAAATTAGTAGAAGGCTAGGCTTGAAACTTTGTATTTTAAGACTCAACCCTGAAAGGCTTTTTCTACCAGGATTCCTAAGGAGCTTGGACACAACTGGGTTATATTTTTATTGTGAGAACCTTTTTTGGAGTATTAAATGGAGACAATAAATGGAAACGCAGAGATTGGGTTTGTGCTAGCTCTGCACAAAAAGATTAAAAACCAAGGTATTTTGCCATTTATGATTTAATAAATATCAATTTTATGAGCAATGTTTTCACTTACAAAAACTACCCTCTTTTAAAAGTAGCCTGTTTTATCTGCTAGTTGGCAGTTAGTGCTTGCTTAAAAAGAAGAAAATATTGGTTTAGATTCTAGTTGGAAAACATTAAATAAAATCATGATAAATTTAAAAATCCAATTCAAGTAAAAAATGAGGGAAAGAAACTAAAAGTACCACTTTGTTAAATTAAAAGCTAAAGATAGTTTTCAAATTATTTAAACATGGAAGCATATTAATTCACTTGTTTTTTAAATTCCTGGTTTTTAACTCAATGAAATTTTTGGTAATTGCTTTGTGGTCATTCATGAATTTGTATTTACATGTGATCTATAAGAAAATAAGGTCCAATTCATTAGTTTACAGAATTTTTCCTTTGAAAACAAAGAATGCAATAAATCATGGAGTTCATGCTTATGTTTCTTTGATTTTTTTAAAAAGAAATTTAAAATTCTACATCTGCTGCACATATTGTAACCAGTGTCTCTAGAAAGGAAAAATTACATGGTAGAAAAGAATTTGTAAAAGCAGCAAAACAAGTGACACTTCTGGATACCATGCCTTATGTGACTTGTGCCCATTCTCCACCACCTCACCTATGTTCCAAGTTATAGCTGTTCAATTTTTGATACCAGTATATACTCTAACTACAAAGAACTGCTGTGGTGTTGTGTTTGGAGGTTATTCAAATGCATCAATTTGGATTCACTCCCAATGAGGCTGAAGGATTGCTCTCTCTAGGTTTTCCTCTTCCTCCTCCCTATCCCTCAAGTTTACTCAAATCTCCAGATTTCATTCATTTGAATGAATAATTTGAATTGTTAATTCCCTGATCTTTCTTCCCTCTTCTTACAGTGTCCCCACCAAGTCAGCAAAAATGGAAGAATCGCTTTTTGCACAGTAATGTAATCATTTAACTGGTCCTATGGGTAAGTACTGTCTTTTGCATTTGAGAATACTCTTGGAGCGGCTCCAACTTTGTGAAAGGCAGCCCTGTAGTTCCCAGTCTTAGAGGTGCCCTTCTATCAGACTGAGAAGGAGACAGGTGAGATGGCTTCTCACCTTGTTTGCATTTGTTTTCAGGCACCAGATTTGCTGCCTTTGGCAAGAATAACAGGTAAGGAAACATAATTTGAGTATTTCTCATGGTGTGGGAATGACTCATAATTCTTAACTAATGAACAAGATGTTCTATGACTCCTCACAACCAAAATTTGTGAATCAATACTGTTTTTAATGGTTTATATTGGTTGGAAGGTGAGTTATAAAACCTCCTTAGACCAAGAAAGACCAGTGGGGAGAAGTCTTGTAAGAAGGAAGAGTCCTTGTTCATTCTGCCTTCCATTACTGCTTACCTTTGTACAGCATTGTCCGGAAGGCTTTCCCTTCCCAGTAGCTTATGTTCACTCTTGTGAAAACATTATATTTTTCTGGATAATGAATTTCAAACAAGACTCCTGTTTCAGGAGAAGGCTTATAGTCATATATTGAAACACTGGTTACAGGTAGAGGTTCTACAGAGGGGAAGTAAATGCAGAAAGGGGAGAAGGGAAAGAGAAAGGCATCATCAACACTTGGAAGGGCCAAATATTACACTTAGAAGAATTCACACACGTTTTTACTCTCTCTGTTTCCTGTGAAATGAGTTTTCCCTGACAGTAATTAATAAGGTAATTTTATATGGGACTTCTGGCTTTTTAAAGAACATTTATATAAATTTTTCCATTTGCCTTTTGCAACAACCACAAGATCTAAAAAGAGGAAAGATTATCTCCATTCAACTGACAAACACAATGATAAATCAGATGCTATAAATTACCTGTTATAGCAAATTTAACAAATGCATGAGAAACATTGTATCTCCAGATTTCTCACTCATTTTCCCCATGCCAAGAAAATCTGTGGTAATGACAGACCAGTAACGGAAAACACATTTTGACTTTGAGCATGATAAGCATTTGTTTATTTCTTCATGTGAACCTAGATAATATTTTCTACATAAAGTATAAAATTGCAACCCATCCAGTGATGTGAAAATTATAACTTATGGTGTTTATCAAGCAACTGTTTTACAGAAGTTTAAAACACATTATTTCTTTTTTGATTGAGTTGTTAATTCATCACAAAACTTTAAAAATACACATTTTAAAATTATGATTGATTAGTGTCTACATATATTCCACACCCCACTCTTCAGCAACATTCTTATAAAATAACAGGTTTCCCTCAATGTTCTGAAAAAGCCGTAGGATAATTTTAACCTACATTTTATTTAGAAAGAATTTTAAATATTTTGATTTAAAGTCAACAATTATATTATTTAAAAACAATTTTTATTCAAGGGTTTAGAATTAAGAGGATACATAAATATCATCTACAGCCTAAACTAAAACAATATCCTTAGATTAAATTTTACACTTTGAAATTTCAGTTTCAGGGCCATTGTTATGGAACAATGGATTATGTCTCTGCCTGCGATGCAGGTATCCCAATGTGCCTGAGAAAGCAGTGGAAGATGGGCCAAGTAGTTGGGTCCCTGTCATCCACATAGGAGATTAAAATGAAATTCCTGGCTTCTGGCTTCGACCTGGCCCATCCCCAGCTATGCAGTCATTCTGGGGGGGAAACTGGTGGATGGAAGATCTTTCTCTCTCTCTCTCTCTCTCTCTCTCTCTCTCTGCTTTTCTAATAAATAAATAAATCAGCAAATCTTTAAAAGGAATAAGATTTCAGTTTTGAGGTGGTTGTGTAGCCCAACAGTTAACACTCCAGTTAAGACACCTGTGTTCAATATCTCGCTCTGGATTCTAATTCCAGCTTCCTGCCAATGCAGACCCCAAGAGGAGTAGTGGTGCTCAAGTAGGTTCCTGCCACCCACATGGGAGACCTGGATTAGATCCTGTCTCCTAGCTTTGGCCTAGTTGTGGCCATTGTGAGCTTTTGGGTAGTGAATCAGCAGATAGATGAGAGCTCTGTGTATCTACCTCTTGAATAGATAAAAATAAACAAACAAAATTTGACTGAGTTCATTCAACAAATAGTTCTTGACTTTCTAGTTTGTCTCAACCTGTAGTTACTAAATTCTGTTACTCAAGTTCTTAAACCATTTCTTGCTTTTGATTGAAGAGATCCAAAGAGAACTGATGCTACATGTTAAAGCATTGATATTTTTCTGGAAAATCATGCCAACATCTATGAGAAATAATTCATCTATGGAAAAGTTGAGAGGGTCTTCACAAAGCAGTATATTTTTGGATCTGTTTAGAAAATGTGCTATATGGCCGGCGCCGCGGCTCACCAGGCTAATCCTCCGCCTTGCGGCACCGGCACACCAGGTTCTAGTCCCGGTCAGGGCGCCGGATTCTGTCCCAGTTGCCCCTCTTCCAGGCCAGCTCTCTGCTGTGGCCCAGGAGTGCAGTGGAGGATGGCCCAAGTGCTTGGGCCCTGCACCCCATGGGAGACCAGGAGAAGTACCTGGCTCCTGCCATCAGATCAGCGTGGTGCGCTGGCCACAGCGTGCTGGCTGTGGCGGCCATTGAAGGGTGAACCAACAGCAAAAGGAAGACCTTTCTCTCTGTATCTCTCTCTCACTGTCCACTCTGTCTGTCAAAAAAAAAAAAAGTGCTATATGAAATATTTTTAAAAAGATTTATTTATTTGAAACAGTTAGAGAGAGAGATAGAAATATAGAGAAGGGGGGTGTCTTCCATCCTCTGGTTCATTCCCCAAATGGCTACAATGGTTGGAGCTGAGCCGGTCCAAAGCCAAGAGCCAGGCACTTCTTCCTGGTCTCCAACGTGGGTGCAGGGGCGTAAGGGCTTGGGCCATCTTCCACTGCTTTCCCAGGCCATAGCTGGATTGGAAGTGGAGCAGCTGGGACTTGAACCGGCACCCATTTGGGATGCCAGCACTGCAGGCTGGGACTTTAACATGCTGTGCCACAGCACCAGCCCCATATATGATGTATTTTAAAAAGTCATGGAAAATGCATGGATTTCAATTTTTTGCACCAAAATAAACATCTTTCAATTCCACTTTTTCTATCGACTTTTGAAGTGCTATCATATTCTCTGGTTAAAAACTTTGTATTTTTTTTCTCATCCTTGCCCTTCCAAAACAAGGTAATGCTTCATAGTGAACTCATTTATGATTCCATGGAAACAAACAAAATCCTCGAAGACTGAACTTTGAGTTACTGAGCTTCGAGTTGAAAACTCCCAGAGAAGTTTGTTCTTTTATTTTTTAAAAAGATTTATTTACAAGGCAGAGTTACTGAGAGCAGAGAAGGGGAGGGGGGTCTTCAATCTGCTGTTTCATTCCCCAGATAGCTACAACAGCCAGAGCTGAGCCGATCTGAAATCAGAAGCCAGAAGCCAGGAACTTCTGGGTCTCCCACGTGGGTGCAGGGGCCCAAGGACTTGGGCCATTTTCCACTACTTTCTCAGGCCATAGCAGAGAGCTAGATCAGAAGTGGAGCAGCCAGGAATAGAACTGGTGCCCCTATGGGATGCAGGCACTGCAGGTGGTGGCTTTACCCACTGTGCCACAGTGCCAGCCCCTGTTCTTTTACTTTTAAATATTTATTTACTTGAGAGGCAGAGAGAGAGATCCCATCAGCAACCTATAATAATTGGGGCTGGGCCAGGGCTGAAGTCAGGAGCCAGGGACTCAATCCAGGCCTCTCATGGATAGAGGCAGAAATCCAACTACTTGAGCCATCACTGCTGTCTCCCAGGTCCTGCATTAACAGGAGGCTGGACTCAGGGGCTGGAGCTGAAGGCAGGTATCAAACCCAGCCACTATATGGGCCTATCAACCACCAGCTCAAACAGCTGCCTCCTTTAAAGAAATTTCGAATGATTTGAAAGTTTTTCTTTCAACTCAGCCTAATTACGACTTAAGCAGTCTACCGAACCAAGTTGTTGGCCCTGAATCGGAGAGAACAAGCAGCCACTGAGCTCAGCTCCTCCATGCCTCACCCATTCGCCACCCACACCAGAATTCACATGTTAAGTTAGAGGGCCACTCCATCTTTCATGTCCTTGAGGTTGATGGCTGCACATCAGAGCCATCACCAGTTTTTGAAACTCAACACATCCATGAGGATTCTTAAAATTTCTTTTTTTTTTAGAGGGGGACATTGAAGCAAGCTACTTAAACTTAAAAAGAAAGTCTTAAATGGCTGTGTACATGTTTGATTTATATATTTCACTCAGCTTCAACACAATCCCAAAGTCCTGCCCCAGACATAATTGATGCATAGTCAATCAAAGAATTAATGTTTCCGAAGGAACTCAAAAACACGGTCTAAAAATATTTTGCTCTGACTCCAGCTTCTTGCCTTATTAATTTTCCTTTTAGAAATTAAGTGGTGTTGCATGAACCAGAGCTACAATTACTCAATGCATTTTAGTGATGACAAGGTTAAATCCTAGACTAATTCAATATTTTCCCTGCCAGTCACTCCACTGTACTTCCTTTTTTGCTTTAAGAACCATGCTGTACTGGACAGGGTAAGGGGGTTGCAAGACAATAGGAATCATTTATCATCATTGTTTATTAATTATTTTCTTGTCTTCTGGTCTTTTGATTTTTCAAAGACATAAAGCATTATAAGATAGAGTTGAAACTTGACATATAACTGATATGCACCCCATCCTTCCCCTACCACGGTCTCAGGTGAACTACTATTCCAAATTTTGTGTATATTGTCAAATACATCTTTTTTCTTTTACTTTTTTTTCAAAGATTGATTTATTTATTTGAAAGGCAGTGTTACAGAGAGGCAGAGACAGAGAGAAGTCTTTCATCCGCTGGTTCACTCCTCAGGGCCGAAACAGCTGAAGCTGAGCTGAGCGGAAGTCAGGAGCCAAGAGCTTCTTCTGGGTCTCCTACACGGGTGCAGGGGCCCAAGGACTTGAGCAATCTTCTGCTGCTTTCCCAGGCCACAGCAGAGAGCTGGATCGGAAGTGGTGGAGAAGCTAAGTCTTGAACCAACGTCCATATGGGATGCTGGCACTGCAGGCAGTGGCTTTACCCACTACTCCATAGCGCAGGCCCCATATTTTACTTTTATGCTTGTATGTATCCAACATTATTTCATGTTTTAAAATATTATGTTGATGGTAGCAAACTGTACATATCATTCTGCAGGTTGCTAAGAGATTTGAGATGGATTCATCCTGCTACAAGCATCTTTAGGAACTTTGTTTTAGTGTCTACACAAATTGCTCAATTTATCTGTTATTCTTTTTGGTAAAAAGGTCACTTTAAATCATTCACTCTTATAAATACTGTTGCAATAAACATTTGGGACCCATCACCTTAGGTTGGAAATCCCAGATAGCAAGGTATGCACATCTTCAACTGTATCAGATATTGTCAAAATGCTCTTTAACTTGATTATGCTGATTTACATATCAGTGGTGAATGAAAGTTCCTGTATCAATATTTTTTTAAGTTTTTGCTGCTCTAAGGTGTGAAAAATTTTGTCTCTTTAAGTTCCTGTTGATGA